CCACCATGTGAACATTGTTTAACTAGTAAAATGACCAGAAAATCTTTTGTTGGCAGAGAAAGAGCCAATGAACTTTTACGATTGATACACTAGGATATTTATGATCCCTTAAGTATCAAAACTCATAGTAATAAAGAATATTTTATTACTTTCATAGATGATTATTCTAAATTTGCACACATCTATCTTATACATAGAAAATTAGAAGCCTTTGACTATTTTAAGATATATAATACAGAAGTTGAAAACTAACTTGGAATAAAAATTAAAATTTTGAGAACTAATAGAGGTGGGGAATATAACTTTAAATAATTTGAGAGTTGTTGTATTCAATATGGAATTAAAAAGCATACAGCAATTTCGTATATACCACAACAAAATGGTGTTGCTGAAAAAAAACATAATATTGCTAAATGTAATTAGATGCATATTGTCTCATTTTGGACTCTCCAAAAATTTTTAGGGAGAAACATTGTTAACTGTAAACTACATTTTAAATAGAATTCCCACTAAGTTAGTTGTATTTATAACTTATAAATTACAAAATGGGAGGAAACCTAATCTGAGTCATCTCAGGAATTAGGGAACTATAGCTCATGTTCTCATTCCATACCAACTTAAAAATAAGTTAAAATTTAAAACAATAAAGTGTAGATTCATATGGTATTTAGAAAAATTAAAAGGTTCTAAGTTTTACAATAACTAAAAAGGATCATTTAAAGCAGAAATGCTATATTTTTAGGGAATCTAGAGGAAGAGGAACAAGTTCAAGAGGGAACAGAATCTCTAACTGTAATAGATAATGATTATTACGATCTTCTCCACACTAATGACCCAGATATGGTGAATGAACCTAACTTTGAAAATTATAAAATACTTATGGAAAATGATGTACATCATCAACTAGTTGTAGGCAACAAAAGGCCAAGAACACAACCTTCATGGATGGATGATTACTATTTGTATTCATGTGAGTCATCTTGTTTCTTGATAGATACAAATATAGAAGAATAAGATTCCTTAATCTTCTTTAATACAATAAAATCATAAGAATCAGCTTTATGGCTAGCTAGAATCCATGAGAGAAAAACTTGATTCTATAAAAAAGAAAAAGATATGTGAGTTATGTGATCTACCGGAAAATAGAAAAGCCATAGTATGTAAATGAGTGCTTAAAAAGAAGTACCATGTTGATGGATCTATTGATAAGTTCAAAGCACAGTTAGTTGCCAAGAGTTACAACCAAATAGATGTAATAGATTTTTACGAGATATATTCTCCTGTAGCTAAATTTGCATCTGTTAGAATCATTTTGACTATCATTGCATATCTTGATTTTGAGTTATTCCAAATAGATATTAAAATTGCATTCATTAATGGAGAGTTGAAGGAAGCGATATATATGCAACAACCTGAAAGTTTTTAGGTGAAAGGACATGAACATAACCTTTACAAACTAATAAAATCTCTATACGGTTTAAAACAGTCTTCTAGATAGTGGTATCTCAAATTTCATGATGCAGTCACTAAACTTTATTTTATTCAAAACAAATTAGATAACTGTGTATATGTTTTGAAAAGTGAGAGCAAATTTACTATATTATCCTTATATATAGATGATATATTGCTCGCCAAAAATAACATAGAAATATTGAATAAAACCAAGTCAGATCTCAGCGAAAAGTTTAAGATGAAAGACATGGGAAATGCATCATATATTCTTAAAATTCAAATAATTCGATATAGAAAATCTAGAATGCTAAGTTTAAACCATGAAAAGTATTTAAGATCATTTCTTAAAAGGTTTCGAATGGAAAATTCCAATTCGGCACTAACTCCGTTAGTCATGGGAAAGAAATTGTGTAAAGAGCAAAGCCCTAGAGAGGGACAAAAGCCATTATATGTTCCTTACGCTCAAGCAATTAAAAGCTTAATGTATGCAATATTGTGAACCAGACCTAATTTAGCTTATGCTGTGAGTCTAGTTAATCGATATCAAAGTAATCCAGGACCAGCACATTGGGAAGCTGTTAAAAGAATTATGAAGTATATCAGAGGCACATTGACTCACAAATTGTTTTATCAAGCCAGTTTGCTTGATCTCCTTAGTACCGTTCTGTGCTCATTGGTATTGCTATGCTTTGATTCCATGAACAAAGATTTGCCCGTGATACTTGTACACATGCCTGAGTGAGAAGCAACCCGTGACTCCTTACTAGTAATGGCGATATGGTCATAAAGCGAAGCTCCCCTAGTTCTTTTCTTTTAAAGCTCATCATCCTCTAAATCTGTTCTTTCCCTTTATATTATTTCCACTGATAAAGGCCATATATGACTATAAAGCGAAGCTCCCCTCGTTCATTTCATTCCATGCTTTTTGTTAGAATATAAGAAAACAATCCTCAATCATTATTATAACATAAGAATTTTAATGTAATAATAATTTAAAATAATACTAGAGCAATCCAGGTTTAAATCACATCGACCACGAATATTAGCGGAATTTCTAAAAATGAACACTACTATGTGAGTTTAGGTTTAATTTTATTATTACTTCATAAGGTTGTAGGATTGGATGGTATAGGAATATAATTTGAGGCAAAGCACAACAACTGAAAGGGCTTATTATTTATTTCTGTTGACCCTTTAACCTGTGTTTGCATGCATGTGTATGGTTTAAGATTTAGGGTTTATTCTTTTCGGCTTTGACTAAATAAATTGAAAACTCTATGGTGATAGGGTGATAAATACGTTTATTTTTGGTCTATTAAAATTCACTGGATTTACCAAGCACTCTAGATTAAAATCACCTCAATTATAAACCTTTTGAGGACTAAATAGTTCAATTAGATCACTGGATTTTCTAGATTAAAACCACCTCAATTATAAACCTTTTGATGACTATAGTCCAATTAGATTATAATCCATAGTTCGCAAACGTGCTCTAGACTAAGAGAGGATTTTAATCATAATAGTGCTAAATGGATAGAAGATGGGCTATTGTTTGTGCTTGAATATTCTGAGGATGTAGGGCCAGTATATGATACTTGTGGAGCTTAAGATAGGTTTGCGTATTTTAATATTTTATAGAAGCAACTATGGAAATTGCTAAACAGAACTTGATCGTTAAAGAAAATAAAGTGCTTGATGAAACTGTGTTTAAAATCATTATAAGTGAAGCTAATCAAAATAGATATAACTTTAGCTGCATGACTATTTGTACTGCAAATTATTATTATTATTAAAGAAAAACTACTTTTGATGTTCCGCCCCCATCTTAATTAGTATCTTTTTAAAATATTCCAAATAACATCCCATGAAAAAAACTCACACCATGCGATAATTAAACTTGATCTCAAATGAGCGACGATTTTGGTGGGAAAAAGTTTAAGTGCTGAAATCATCTGACTATACCCCCACGTCCCAAAGCAACCTTCAGGTATTTGCTCAACTAACACGCGGTTTATAACTTATCCCCACTAACAAGTTTCTGTTGCGCTGTGCGAAAGCGTGCTTGACAATCAAACGAGTCCGCGAGCAATAAGAAAAAAAAACCAAACTAAATACGAATGCAATTCACTAAAATACGACGCAAATCAAACCAAACACAGAGATTTACATGGTTCGGCAATTGCCTACGTCCATGGGGAGAGGATGTGGATATTTTACTATATGGAGGAGAAATACAACGGGTTACAACTCACAAAATCACTCAAATATAACCCTAACCAAAGCTCTCAACTTCCTCAAAATATTTCCCTCTCAAATTGCTCAAAACAATCCAAAATCTCTCCTTAAGAAACCCTAAAAAATGTGTTTGTATTTATACCAAACACTAATCCAAAACCAACTTGGAAAAACAAACTGACCAAATTACCTGCTTCGCAGTCGACTGGACACAAGCCTACGGTCGACCGACCAGAAACACAAATTTCAGCCCTGTAAATAGCACACTTTCGGTAGACCGCACGATCGTGGCTGGTCGACCGACCCGAACAGGGTTTCGGACCTTGTAATGTGCACGGAATCGGTCGACCGACCAATGTCGTTAGGTCGACCGACCTGCAACCAAACTGTATATGCTCACTACAACAAAATACAACATTGCCGACGAAACAAAAACGTCGGTAAATGTTTAAAAAACGTCGGGAAAAATATTTCCCGACGCAAAATGCAGCGTCGCTAACGCGTCGCCAAAAGTGCGTCAAGGAAAGTATTTGGCGACGCAAATACACTACGTCGCCAAAAGTACACTTTTGGCGACGCGACATGCGTCGGGAAAAGTACATCTTTTAGCGACGCATATTATTTTGCGTCGGCAAAAGCATGCTGAATTTTTCCATATGCGAAACGGCGTCGGGAAATCTTGCACTTTTGGCGACATACTTAACGTCGGCAAAGGGCAATGCGTCGGCAAAAGTATACTTTTAGCGACGCAGAATGAAGCGTCGCTAAAAAGCTTATCTTTGGCGACGCATGATTTGCGTCGGCAAAAGTGTAGCTTTTAGCGACGCTCTATTCTGCGTCGCTAAAAGTATACTTTTGCCGACGCAAATCATGCGTCGCCAAAGATAGGCTTTTTAGCGACGCTCCATTCTGCATCGCTAAAAGTGTATTTTTGCCGACGCAAAATTACGTCGCTAAAAGATATTTCTTTTGGTGACAAAATATGACGTCGGCAAAAGTATTACATTTAGCGACTAAATATAACGTCGGCAAAAGTGTTACTTACTGACGCTTATCGACACTAATTTGCATCGCCAAAAATAATATATTTTCTGTCAAATACAAGCCTACACTGAATCTGAACATCCACAAAAATTTGATCCCATTCACATCAACATAAAAGTCTATTTTTCCATTTCCCCTTGAGCACTAAAAGCATTAATTTACAAACTTCCTCTTGCATACCCAAGTACATAATGTCTCTCAAAAACAGATTACATCAAGGAAACTAGAAACAACAATCTCAAATGTGTATCATTAATTACAAAGAACAAATGGATTTGATGGAGAATGTCCCGCTGATGATTGATTGGCTTCCCACCACTACAGCTAGTATTGCTATAGCAAGAACAGGCCATCTCACACTTTCTACATGCAAAAAAGAACAAAAAACATCACAAAGAGAATGATGCGTATGGGAGCTTTTAAACAAACAACTACTTTTACGACCAACTACCTCATTGAAGCGTATTTCCTCAAATTCAGACATAGTCAAACAGTTTGAGTTGGAATTAATGAAAAAAATAATTTGCAATGCGATGAGAATTAAAAAAAAAATCAGATACAAGGTCCTTAAAGATTGGAATCATTCTTCATCTAAGTATAAAATCTAGAATACGAGGATATAAATGTAATTATGCCAGACTCCACAATTTTGATCCATAACAAAGATTTGTAGGATAACCATCACCAATGAAAAACTACTGATTCCTGAAGTTCAATAAAAGTCAATCGAGATAACCATGAGGATTTAAACATATAATATGGAGAAAGGGCTTGATAAACATGAGGATTCCAATGAATGATGTTGTATATGCCAAGGGCACTAATGCATAATAGCCACGGATATAGACATAAGGAACAACCAGTTCTAAAAGGTGATCTAGACATAAGGAACAGAAAATACCTTTCAGTGGAACCTACTGATGACAGCCCATACAGTTAACTATCATCAGTTCTTTTTTCGAACAAATTGACCATTGGAATGTGGAACTCATCTTATAGCTGGTAAAAGAATGTTCTAACTTCTAATTACAAAGTAATCCTAGAAATATCAAGAATTTTAATCATGCGGATATAGTTTTTGGCAACAAGATTTTATTTCATGTCTGTTACGAATCAAAGAGAATATAAGATGTTTCTCAAGGATACTCCTCTTAACCTAATAGTGCAGCTCAAATGGCAGTGTTACTGCAAAAGGATCCAAATTTGCTTAACCCATCCTTCACCATTTCCATTATTGAGTGACAAATGGATCCATCCAAGTTTCTAAGTTTCTACAAAATATCTTATGAACTCTGACGTTCTTGGATCCAGTCCATATAGAAATACAGTCATCACCTAGAGATATAAAGCTTTTTTTCATTACTATGATTTCTGAAATATTAGGATTATATGCAATAAAAGAAAGATCAGCCCAATTTATCACCTGTCCTGATTTCGCAGTTTCTTATGACAACATTACTGGCATGATCCAAATGAATCCCATCTGTGTTTGGACTCTTTTCTGGTGCATGGATGAAGAGCTTTGAGAGTTTAACTTCCCTACTATCTTTTACTACTACATGAAATTGTTGGCTATCTTTTATTCTTAGGTTCTTCACCCTCAAGTAATTGCATGAAACAAAGGTCAATGCCTGTCAAAAACAATGAAACTCTTCTGTCATTTTAAGATATATAATTCAAGAGCTAAGCTGATTTCATACCATTGGAGCGCCGATGCAGGGCTGAAATAGTCAGGAAAATCAGAAGAGAGGATAAATCAGACACTGGCCTACAAGAATTACATGGTTCACTCAGTAATTAAAATAGGAGGAGAAGGTCACCAGAGTTTTATTTCTCTTGCAAGAGTTTTGCCACCAAATATGCCCATTGCCATTGATGGTACCTCCTCCTTCGACGACAAGGTTCCTCACGCTATCAAATACGATCCATAGCCTTCTGTTCTTATCGTTCCATTCGGATCGATTCAAAGGAGCAGCGAGGGTTCCCTTAATCTGATGCATCAATGAAATATCAAAACCAACATCTTGTACTTTCTTCCAAGCTCAATTAGTCAATGCTGATGGATTTACCAGAAATGTGACAGGAGACTTGCAAGGGCCAGTGAAGTTGAGTTGCTCAAGCAAATATCTCCTTCTCTTGGGCACCACAAGCACAGCTGATACTGAAGATGAGCAGGTTTCTTTCCAGGCTTTTTTAAATGCCTGCGCCAGCACAAACAATTCTTTATTTTTCTTCTTGTTTTGTTATTTGTTATTATTATTATTATTTTTTTTTTGAATCCAAAAAACATAGTTTGAATGGTTATGAACTTACCTTGCTATCATCGGTAGCTCCATCGCCTTTGGCGAAGTGATCATCCACACTCACAACTCTATGGCCTTCTTCAATGTGGCTTGGAACGCTTTGGCAAGAGCAGTTATGGGTGAGGAGAGTGAGGATTGACAGAATTAGAAACTTGGATGGATCCATTTGTCACTCAATAATTTGAAACATATTGGATGTGGTTGTTCCTATGCATTTTGTTTTGCTGACTACCTAGTTGTACATGATGGAGTCCTTGTGGTTTACTTGACTCCAACTATTCACTCTGCTTTGATTTTGGAATATGATAATTTGAATTAATCAGTATAATTATCCTGCTCTCTTTTTATATTTCCTGTACATTTTTCAATAAACAATTACCTTTTAGAAATCATTAGATAAATTTTCAGTTGTAAAGTATCTATTTCTTCAGGCTTAGAGGTTATCGTGCATGACGTTGCCAGTTATGTTTCCTTTACTATGTAGCAAATCTAGTTCTATTTTAAAGTTGCACTGGGTCTAGAATTTCAAAACAGTGTTCTAGCTGAAAAAGAGTTCCTGCTCAAGTTTTATTCATCCTTGTACAAATCAAAGCTAGTTTCTTTTAATTACCTTTTATTTTCTATTCTATATAAGGAAGCCTCTTCCTTGTACAAATCAAAGCTAGTTTCTTTTAATTACCTTTTATTTTCTATTCTATATAAGGAAGCCTCTACTTTTGGGGTGTTTATGATCAAATTGATACATCTGCTTTTATCCTAATTTAAAAAAAATTTAAAAAATTCAAAGCTATGTCGTGTTCGATCAGGTATACATGCATATTTATATGCATATTCGACAGGATATGAACACATACATTTGCAGATTTTTTTTCTGTTTACATCCATAATTTTGATAGGTCAAAAAAAAATACTTCTATTGATTTGCAGACGTAATAATTACCTTTAAAGAGTATCAGCAAGCAGAACAAACTACTCTCAAGTTCAGTATGAAAAAAAAACACAGTGAACATGAAGAATAATAAAACAAAAAAATTCTAAAAACAACAGGCATAGAGATCGTAGATGGCTTGCATAATACCTGAAACAATACATTCAGATACCTGCAGATATATCAAACTCTATCCACATTGTACAATATCAAATTACCAACTTATGCAATGAGATAAACATAGGGGAAAGCTTCACTTCCTCTTAAACTGTAACTTAAATCCTAAGTAAAGAATTCTGAACAGTTGATCCTAGGCTATTATAATCATTGATCCAAGTGAGAGCTAATGACTCTTAGCCAAAACCCCTCAAGTACTTGAGAATCTCCTGCAACTAGAGAGATCCTTATTTAAACTCCCCACTTGTGCATTTTATATGCCAATGTGCACTGCATAAAGATCTCCAAAGTGCGATATTTCAAAATGCATGCTTGCCACCATCATTTGATGAAAAAGGGAAAGTTGACTTATAAGTTTGAAAAGAAAAAGCTGCAAGAATGTACCTTGTATTTTCCCCCCTATTAGTTTCAAATCTAGATAGATCAAAAATATTCGACGAAAAATACCCGAATTAAGGTTGCTGAATTAAGGAGAAGAATTATTAACAATTTTCTTCAAAATAATGTTTCCAGCCAATGCAAATAATTCAGACTCATCGTCAACAAAGCATCCCAAATTAACAAACAATTTGAGGAGCTCACTTCAGATATAATTGCTCATTCTACTAATACGTCCAACTACATCGAGGGGAAGGAAGTGTTTACTGCACATCAAGAATCATGACCCAATAGAAACCCTAGGGTTACAATTGAAAGCAAATGAATACATCGGCGAGATTCAGTACCTTCCACGGTCCTGGGGGCGATTTTGGCAGCAGGAGGAGGCGGCGAGATCCGACGGAGGCGGCGGTGAGCTTCGACGAAGGCGGCGAACTTTCAGAGAATTTGGGGGCGATTTTGGCTCTTCGTCAAAATGAAAGGGGGGAATTTTCCCTCCTTTTATTTCGCGGAGGGGGGATTTGGATTTTGGCTCTTCGTCAAAATGAAAGGGGGGAATTTTCCCTCCTTTTATTTCGCGGAGGGGGGATTTGGTGGTGGGGTTTTGGCGACGCGGATAAATAAAATAGCGTCGCTAAAAATATGACTTTTACCGACGCTAATTATAAACATCGGGAAAAGAACACTTTTAGCGACATTAGCCTAATACGTCGCGATAAATGCATATTATTAGCGACGTTAATTCTAAAACGTCGTTAAAGAGCTATACTTTTGCCGACGAAAATGAAAAAATGTCGGGAAATCCATAACTTTCACCGACGCTAAGTTAAAACGTCGCTAATAATATACACTTTTAGCGACGCTTATTATAAACGTCGGGAAAAATATATTTTTTGCCGACGCTAACTAAAAGCGTCGGGAAAAACACAATTTTTGGCGACGTATTTAACCATGCGTCGGGAATAAGCGTCGGGAAAAATGTAATTTGTTGTAGTGGCTGATTTATCACATTTTCCTCAATTCTTTCGTCATTTTCAACAATTCTCCACCTTGGCGAAGTGTTCCCAAAACTGAACTGACACCAAACAAGAGCACTACTGTGTCGTCTCATCAAATCTGGCTGCACCAATGTGGTTGCCTACGTACCCCCTCTCCCAAGGGATCAAACCGCCTGTAGACTGCAAGGTGCATATCCAACACACCGGCGATGGGTCAAAGTGAACACATACCCCGTCTTCGATCGGCGTTTATCCAAATCTCTAGTGTAGTACGAATCTGTGTATCCAATACATAGTTGCCCACCTCTAGTGTCCCACTCAAAAAATAAACCAACGCTAAGAGTACCTTGAATGTACCTTAAAATCCATCCCACGACATCTTAATGACCCGGACCCGGGTCATGCATGTATCTCGAAACCATGCTCACTGCCTGTGATAAATCTGGCCTCGTACAAACCTTGACGTACATCAAACTTCTAACTACGCTCGCATATGGAGTCTTCGACATCAACTCTCTATCTTCAACTGTCTTCGATGAAAGGTCAGCTGAAAGCTTCAAATGAGCTCCCTATGGTATACTAACTGGCTTCGTCTCCATGCTCACATTGAACCGCTATAGAATCTTCTTCAAATAAGCCACCTGTGTAAAATAAATTCTGCCATTGTCTCTGTCTCTGCCGATCTCCATTCCCAAAATATGCTTCGCTTCACCTAAATCATTCTAGACTCGCTCGAAAGCTGAATGTTCAATCTATCTATGGCGGTTCTAAAAATAAAAGTAACCAACATGTCATCAATATAAAGCAATAAGTAAATGTACGCACCTCCATATTGAAAGCACCCTAATGCCACTAGGAAAGAACCCTAGAGGGGGGTGAATAGGGTTTATGCTAATCTAATCCGATTTATGCCACTTTAAGAAGCTATTAACAAAATATCCTAGCAAGAATGATATATTATAAATATATGTGCAAGGATATACAAATAACACAAGGGTGAAATAAATTACTAAACAAACAAGAGTGATAGTGCACAAATAAACAATGAAAACACAATATGATCACGGAGTTCGGACCTTCCGTCTTACGTCTCCGCTCCTCACTCACGGGGAGAAATCCACTATTACACCAAGTTTTCAACGATCACCCAAAAACGTTTACATCATACAATATCGGTTTTCAATGCTCACCGATCAACGTTCATAATCTCACAATGTAACTATACTAACTACCACCTCAAGTGTTGGTCTCTAGCCCGTGTTTCCCTCAAGTGTTAGGAATTAGAACCTCTCTCTAGGTATTACCACCTACCCCACTCCTCTTGAGATGACCCTGTCTCTCACTACACACTTCTCTTGGTGTATTAGGGTATTACAAAGTGATCTACACAATTAGGCTCTCTACAACAAATGATTGTTCTCTAAACAAGGTGATAACTCAATTAAGCACAACTCAAAGTTACAATATCTTATAACCCTAATTATACTATGTATGAAAATACTAAAAGCTAAAGTGGGTATGTGTAACAATAAGATTTAATAAAACAAACTAAACTCAAATAAATCTAGCTTATGGAAATAAGAATCAAACATATAAATAGCTAGATAAGAGTTTAGAAAATTTTCTCTACATGATAAGAGAGAGAGAGAGAGGGAGAAGACTTAAATGCTCAAACACAATTGATGATCTTCCTCAAGCTCTTGTGAAAATTGCTTCACAAACAAAACTCTTAAATACTCATTAAAACAAACACAAAATACCCTTAAACTTGTTTTAAACAATTCTCCTAGTTAAGTTTTTGGTCTGAGGTATGAGGGGTATTTATAGAGACCCCAAGACATAAGAAAAACAAAGCAAAAAGACTAAAAACCCAAAACAGGACAAAGCTGGAAAAACTAGCCGTTACAGTATCAGTCAACTGATGACTTTCATCAGTCGACTGATGAGCTGATCGTTAGAGGCATTTTCAGCTCATCAGTCGACTGACGATATTTATCAGTTCGACTGATGGATCATCAGTTGACTGGTCAGTCGATCAAAATAAAACAGAAACTTTTTGTTGATTCCAAACATATTATTTAGTCGACACATCAGTCGACTGATTTCATCAATCGACTTACCAGTCGACTGATAACAGGTTATCACCCTGAATCAAATAGAAAAACTGAATTTCAAACCCCTTTTAAAAATAGCAAATAAAATCATAAAAATGTAAAACTTTGGAAAATAATTATAGACATGATAATACACATGTTACAAAAACACTAGACAAATAACATCATTTTGCATAACCTCTCATTTGTATAATATCATAATTTTACAAAAATGTCCAAAAATAAGAAATTAAACATACATGTTTTTGACATATTAATTTAAACAAACTTTTGAAACTTTGTAAACTGATTTTATAGACTTAATAACATATGTATAAACTGATATTAAAGTCTATAAACTAATAAAATAATGTTTTCATAAAAACACCAATATTTTGATAAAATCAACAAATATGTGTGTGTGATTAATATGAGCTTAAAATATTAACACACAAGTATAAACCTATACTACAAACACTATAAACTATATACCCAAGCTTGAAGGTCTTCAACATAGCTTGACTTAGTAAACTTACGGATGAAGCTTGAACTTGGATCTTCAACGTGAATTGCACTGCTTCACTCCACTATTCCGCCAACCTCCATTAGATATGATCATAAATGCTTGATTCCATCCATCCTCTAACTTATTGTTTGCCTAAAATAAATACAAAATACAAACATTAGACAAATAACATTAGTTATAAATTATTTGTTAATCATCATCAAAACAAAAGGACCCAACACATATAACTGTTGGATCCTAGAGGGGGGTGATTAGGGTCAAGAGGCTATAATTATGTTATTTGTTAATCATCATCAAAACAAAAGGACCCAACACATGTAACTGTTGGACCCTAGAGGGGGGAGGGGGGGTGATTAGGGTCAATAGGCTATAATTATGCAATAAAATTAAGACAAGCAAACCATAATATTCTAATGCAATCAAAATAGAGGAGAAAGGGTTAGGAATCGTTATCATGTGACGCGCGATGTGTTAACGAGGTTCGGTCCGCTAACCTACGTCCCCGCTCCCCACTCTCGAGGAGAAATCCACTACACAACCCGGTTTGGAAGGCGGAACTTCGTCTACACAGCGATCCCCTCACGATCTCACACTACACAGTTGATCTCACTAGATCACTCCCATACAATTGATCTACACAAGATCACACTCTCAAGATAGTAGAAATGGTGTAAGACTCTCTCTTTACAACGTCCCTATGACAAAGAGAAAGAGCACACTGAAGCTGGGAAGTGAACATACAAAAAACACAGAAAGAACAGGTTTGAAAATTTTGCTCAGTAAAAACAAGGTCTATGGTTTTTACAAAAGCTGGGACGCTGAGGAAGAAGAAGAGGTTGAGTTTAAATAGGAGAAACCAGCTGTTTAAACCCATACCCTTAATCCCCCAAAATCTGAAAACAAACGTCGCTGAAATCTGTACTGAGCGGCACAGTAAAAGTACAAAAATTACTGTTTGAAAAACTTGGAGGTCGATCGAAAAAACTTGCGGTCGACCGCGATCCAGATCCGAAACTGAGAATCAAGCAGAGACTTCTTCGGTCGACCGGTGCGGTCGACCGATGGAAATTTCGAGCTCTCGGTCGACCGCACCGGTCGTCGACCGACAAACTCTCTGCTGCCCACTGACGAATGATCATAGGTGCGGTCGACCGGTGCGGTCGACCGCATTCTGATACATTCCAAAAAACTGTTTTTGACTCACTTTAAAATATTTGTAAAATATTTATTTGACCTCTGAAAATTACGAAACTTTGTAAAATATTTTTAATACTAAAAACAAATTGTTTGGAAAAAGAATTTTGCAGATAGGTCCTCATACTTGTGAAAAATAGTATTTTATGAAAAACACTTAAAAAAATATAAGTATGAAAACGTGTGTGTGATATCCCAATGGCTTCAAGTGAAATCAATAACTCTTTGCCTACATTCTAGCACTAGAGAGAAAAATAAAAAACTAGCTAATATCCTCATATAGAATGCAATTCTTGAGTCTTGATATAGCTTGAGTTGGATGAAGCTTCTATTTGAATTTGTTGTTCTTGAAATAACGTTGCTTCACCACTATGCCTCCTCCTCCTTTGGATATCATCGTTGTAGTGCATATTCCATCCAATCCTCCATTTGTGGTACAAACAAGCTTGATATATGAATTCACTATATTTGTACTCAATAAGCCATTAGTACCGATAATGGTGGTTGTAAAACATCATTAAAACATAAGGGCTAACAATCTTCCCCTTTTTGATGATGACAACCAACCATTATAGAAGAGCAAAAGTAAATATAGCTTAT